TTCTTCTTATACTTTCAGACGTCAACGTAAATATATTTCTTTCAACTCTTTAACTAAGAGAATTTCAAAGATAGCAAAAGAGAACAATATTCACAATGTTAACAGCAAGAATGTATGTCCCCCCCCCCCCCCCCCCACACTTCCCCAATCCTTTCCAAACTGCTTGCTACCTGAAAGTTTGACACCACAGTCAGCTGGACGCATGAGCCAACTTCAGCGTTTCAGGACGGTTGACATCACGTATTGTGGTTTACAGCTAGGCTGTGATATACGGACCTTTAATGAAGAGTGAAAATCCTTGATTAAAAAAGAATGAAAGCTTGTTTTTGGGGTCAGATATACATGCACAGCTTCCAACAATACTTTCTTAAATTCCCATTTAATTCCTCTTTTACCACTTCGGGCATTTAGCAGGATTCAGGCTTCTGGTTTTTGTCTGCTCTGCATGGAACACAGACACTTGATACTGTTGTTCCCCGAGTGGGTTCCGGGGCCCTATTATGGGGGGGGGGGGGGGGGGGAAAAGAATAGACCCACTGCGTACCCAAAAGCATGTCGTAAGAGTCGACTAATTGGGAGCTTCCTTTGAAGTCAGAGTTCATCTGCCTGAGAGGCAAGGAACCAACAGTCTGCATACAAATTAGTCAGATCTGTCAAACGGATGCACACGCAACACTCAGGTTCTGGAATAGGAGGACTGCAGTCCAGAAGTGGATGAACAACCAGAACTTTCTGCCAGAGTTTACAGCCGGTGAATGCAAAGAAAAAAAGATTCTGTTGTAGAGTTTCTCTGATATTACCTTTCCACTTTGTTCATGGTTGCCCTCAAGCTCTGCTTCCTTTTTTCCCTTTGGTACATGCTCTGAAAGGTATGGTATCACAAGCATTCTCTAAAAACATTTTATTACCTGTCTTTGTAAGTAATTTGTTATTGATTCTAAGCCGGTGTTTTTTTCCTCTTATGACCCCATTTTAAAATCTATCTCTTCGAGTCATTCCTGCAGCCTATCTCTGACATTTTTCTGTGATTACTTATTTCCTTTTTTATATCCTGCTTTAACATAAAGAGGATACAATAGGTTTCCCTGTAACAAACAAACACTAAATAACAATGATTTCAAATAAACATATCTATTTATTATACAGCATGGTTTACATGGGGTTAACAAAAAAGTCACTGATTTTTTTCACAGGCTAACTCTCTCTCTCTCTTGCTGTACCCCACCAGGACATCACACAAGCGATAAACACCCAGTAACAAAAAGTGCCACCATGCGGATGAGGATCACCCGTGGAGAGATTCCAAAAACCCCTTTCAGCCGGTTAGGCTACATTCAGGGCCCCCGGCAAAAGCCAGGGTGGGGCTTCAAATAACAAAAATTTGCATCCCACATGGGGACAACTAGCATAAATGACTTTTTATTTTTATTTTTACAGGCAGTGTAATATCTGTATTTTTGGCAGAACAATTTCAGTTCTCTTTATAATCCAGTATTAACATTTGTAACCAAGTACACATAAAATATTTAACAGTTTATCACAATAATTATTTAGCTGTAACCGCATAACAAGTTAAAGATAAATGGTACTTTAAAAATGTTAAATATGAAGGCATGAAAGCTATGTTAATCACAATGCAGAAGTGAAAGCAGCATGACAATACAGAAATCATTAACAAGCAAAGAACCACTCTTCCGTATAGATTCACATGAAATTAATTCTGAGCGGAAGATAATCTTTGTCAACAAACCGAACAGTTAGTTAGTTCATAACATACACAAGAAGTCAAAATATAGTTAGTAACATTTTCTGTTATTTAATTTAAACTAAAAAAAATAAAGAAATATTTTATCACCACTGATCTATGATATTAAAGAAATTTACCTAGCCACCTTCAGCATTTTCACAATACATTCAAGATGAGCCAGTGGTTTTCAAACTTGTTCAGCCTCCCTTCCCCCTTAAAACTGATTAAAAAGAGAAGGACAAAAAGAAACAACACAAGGAGTCATGTTTTTGGTCAGAATGTATTCTTAGTTTATAATAAATGCATGTACTATGCACATGCTATCCTATTAATTGAATTATTAATGGTAAATATACAACCTGTTCATGCAAACATAAAATGTCCTTGGCTTTTTGTTGCATTAAAATTTTGTACATATAATTTTTTCATAATTAAACTGAACAATAAAATGTTAGTATAACAAATTATTACAAGTACAAATGCAAATTTCAATACTGCTTGATGCTCCCTTGAAACTTCTTTGCACCCCTTCCCATGTTGAAATCCACTGAGCCAAAGTTGTAAAATGAATAAACATTTTGTGCTGGCCTACAATGGAGTCTCGCTGCAGTGTATCCGCTGCTTTCTTTCAGAATATTACCGGCAGAGGCTCAAACCTCTTCCACTGTCATGTCTCTTGTTGCAGCGTCCAAAAGCCACAAACCGGTCATTTTAGTGACTGTCCACTAAAACATGTAGGTTCTGGTGCTCTGTTTTCGAGAACAACTAAAAGCCCCACTGCCCCCAACAAGCATATGGTAGGAGGCGACTAATCAGGGGTGTTTCCTTCAAAGTCAGAGTGCATCTGCCTGAAAGGTAAGGAACCAACAGTCTGCATACAAATAATCCAGAAATGTAAAAAGGATTGCGGATGCAAACTCAAGTTCTGGAACAGTACAAAAAATGGATGAAGAACCAGAACTTTCTGCCGGAATTTATCGATGGTAAATGCAAAGGAGAAGAATACGGGCACATCCAGCATTGGATCATGAAACCTTTAAGCCTCAGAGCCATGCAAAAAATTACTAATAAAGAATTAAGTAACAGAAGTGTCTTGGCAAATAACACCTTTGGTTTACTGTGTCACTTTCTGATTAAATTGTAATTGCAGCTCAATGATTCTGAGACTACTCACACCATTCAAAGATTCAAGCTAAATGGGATGAATCTACTTCTCTCTCATTCCCTCTTTCTCGATCTATCTGTCTGTTTATTTTTCTCCCACTCAACTCTCTCCTAATATAGCAAATATATTGCTCAACTCTCTCCCTCTCACTGTTTCTCACAAGTCTGGTGCTTAACTCTCCCTCTTCTTTCTTTTTTTCTCTCCTCCTCTCAGAAGACCGCTGCTTGACTCTCTCTCTCTCCCCCTCCCTATCTCTCCACAAACACATATAAAATATGATATTACAAATGTTATTTTAAAGGAAATGAAACATCAAAGTGTGAATACAAATAACACTGATGTGAACATTCAATCAGCAGGTGGTCATTTACAGCATGTTGCTGTCTTCGCAACATGCCTGAAAGTATCTAGCCAAATCTCCAGCCCTGTGTGCTTTCAAAGCAAATGTCTCTTCAACGTTCTATATCCACTTAAATAATAAGGTAGATGCCACTATCTCAATTGCCCAGAAAAACAAGACTGCCCAGACAACACTTTTTACACATATGCAGCAGTGATGGGTGCACAGAAACATTACCAATCATAAAATAAAACCATGAAAGACTTCTATAAGTAAACTTGATTGCTTCCTTGATGCATATGACATTTCTCTTAAACAGAAGTAAAATAGTTATTACAAAAATGAACAAGATAATGCAAACAATTATACAGAGATGCAGCATAAACTCCTCAAACTACTAGATGTCAATGAATGGACTGAACACATCAACACATGTAATGTCACCTGATGTCAACATCAGCACAGCTGCCAGTATGTAGGCATGTACTATGTATAATGCTAGAGGCAATGAAAATAAAATGAAACACAAAATTTCATGAATTATAAACAATGTAATTTGTTTCTTCCACTGAGACGTTTCTCGATAAAAAATAATTACAATAACATTGCTGCGTCTAAATTAAACCCAAAAATAAAATACAAGATTAAATTTAATTTATTATGCACAACTATAAGTTCTTTTCACTAAGTAATTTCTCAATTATAATATATAATATTGGGCAACCTTAATTCAATCAAAAAATAAAATGCAGCATTAAATTTAATTTACCATAAGCTACAAAGTTCTTTGAAATATAAAGTAAAGTATCTTTTACAATTTTGCACAAAATCCGACTGGACGCAGATATGAACCCTAGACCTTCTGTTTGAGAGGTGAGTGTCTAGCCACTATGCCATTATTGCTCCCACTTTAAAATAAGTAATTTCTTAACTAAAATACCTTCACGTGTCTGTTGTTCAACCCCACCAGGAAAGTACAACAAGCGACCAACAACCGGTGACACAAAGTGCCAACATTCATATGAGGATCACCTGAGCACAAGTCCCAGAAACCTTGTTCAACCTTTAAGCTAGGGCTCTAAAATAACAAAAAATGGTGTCTTATATTGGGACAGGGTTTATCTTAATGGCAGTAAATTCCTCCACATGCAGTTAAGCCAAACAAATAAAACCAAATTTAATGAAACTGTAATATACACAACTATGAGTTGTTTTCACTGAGAAGAGTAGCTTCTTGACCACAAAATCATTTTAATATTTCATCTAACAATCTTTATAAATTTCTGTAAGCAGGATCCAGGTTACTGAGTATTTGTAAAAGTTGCGTATCTTTACAGGATGTTGCAGAACCAACCCCAGCATTTTTTGGCTGTAGTGGTTTTTCTAGGCAAATGTTAAGTTCAGTAGTTTGCCACTGCTTCTGAAAAGTCAGCTCTCAGTACCACCGGCATTATGAAGCGCGTTCGCAATGCCTAAGCCACAGTGAGTATCTACAGTATTTAAATATGTGCAGAAAGTCCTTATATACGATCTTGCCTTGAGCATCAACTAGCAAGCTGGCAGTAAATACATGTCAGTTTTGACAGATTTCCCATTATGGTACAAAATTTGAAAACCACTTTTCTAATAATACCAACTGTTCATACCTCTCTGCAGCTTCTACTGTAACTGTAACTCTTGCAGCAATCACCCAACACTTACATATCAGCGCCTTACAGACACACAACACCCTTGATTTACTTAACAGATTAAGACTGAATATCCTTGCTGAGTAAGTTAAGAGCATTACTGTCTGTGGGGAGTGCTAGCAAATCTCGAAGTCTGAGGGATACTGCAGCTGTCAGGGCAGCACCTTTGCCGCTGCCATCATGTGACAAACACAGCTTGAACTGTAAACAAAGAGAGTTATATTAAACCGATCATAAAAGTTACATACAAATAAAAGTAAACTGTTCAATAGGTCTCTTTCAATTTAAAAAAAAAAAAAAGAAAAAAAAAAGGAAGGCAAGAATATTTAGATTATAACAGAACAAGCATGCTTGAAACAATCATGTGGTCATACGCATATAAACACAATAGTAAGTATGAGGGCAAAGCATTCAAAAGGAGGTGAATATTCATGGGAGGGAAACAAAGTCATTATTGTGCCGACCAACTTTACTTCCCAGAAAAATTTCTCAATTTTACCGAATTAAGAAATTCACCTAGATGGGTTTTTTTAATCTATATCACCATGCAGACAGGGGTGTTAGCCACTGTGCTACTGCATCTTTCTATAAAGTACATGACTTTAATAAATAATCCAGCACAGGCAATCCCAAGCTAACAAGATTTCCATTTGTCTGTGAATGAGGGATAGCAACCAGTTCAAATTCTGATTACCTTGTCTTAATAAACAAATCTCAAGTAAATGTACTCCAAGGATTGTGTTAGCAATGTCTTCTGTGGCCTCTATTGAGGAATGAAACAAGGTGATTGCGTTGGTCAGCTAGTATACTATCCATCCGGCCCTCAATCATTCTCTTCACAGGTGAATAACTAAAAACTCACCTTCAATCCTGGCTTAACCAACTCCTTAATTTTCAGGCACATGAGGTTATGAAATCTTGGGTGAAATCTGTACAAAGAGCCATCAACTGCAATCGTCATGTCTTTCTTATTCAGGCGGTTGATAAGCGTGGCAAGACCTGAATAAGCAAGAAAAAAAATAATAAACAGTTCCATGTTATGAAAAAACAACAATAAATAAACATGCGTTAAATAAGAAACTGCCGTTTTAATTATATGGCTAATCTTGATTTTTCTGATATTTTCTCCAGGTCATGCCAGTGTGATGAGAAATGAGCAGGTAGATACTGGCCGGTTCTGCACCATTTGGTGGTGAACTGATGTATGACAAGCTGGATGTTGTGAGGGTTCTTTGGAAGCAAGTGAAAAGTAACGATGAACAAATAGATCATTACGGTTTGAGGAGAATGGCACTGCGAGGAATTACAAGATCTGGCCGACGCTCGGCACTCAGAGGAAAGGCGAGATGGATATACAATCAGACATTTACTGGTACCATCGGAATTGGAACTCTTCGCTTGCTGCTGAAGATGGGCACAGAGCACTTATGGGAGTGTTCTGAGTGCTGTAATGTCAATTCTTAATTCAACATTTTTTTTTTTGGGTGGTACACTGTAGCGTACTGTCATGTTTACATCAACCATACACTCAGAATGGATAAGACAAGACTCACCCATCAAGCTCTTGTATGGGCACCAGAAAAGGGAAAAACAAAACGAGGAAGATCAAGAGTGACCCTGCGTAGAACCATATTCAGGCAGGGCTCTTGGGAGGGCTTAACCATGTGCCTAAAAAAAAAGCCCTAAAATAGGTGACAACAAACTGCCAGACTTGAAGAGCTATGACCTCTGCCCTATGCGCCACCTTAGGCTCAATATGAAAGACTAAAAGCTAACTCACACTGTAGCTATAGGCATTGTGTCTTGTCTATTTCAGTGGAAAGGCTCCACTTTTGTGCTTTATTATGTGGATGTTACTTTAGTTGAGCACTTGATGAGATACACTGCAATATACCCTATAATAAATTGTGCACACCATGACTTTTCACTGGTTAGTTGTGTATCCTTTACAAGACGTTGCAGAACCAACCCCAGCAGCTGTTGTGTGGTTTCACTAAGCAAATTTACGTCCAGTAGTTTGCCATTGCTTTCTGGACGGTCGGCTCCCTGATACCACTGTCGAAACCAACGCAAGGCGCATAGCCCGGAGCTGGGATCGTACCCGGCATTCCGGCATTATGAAGCGTTCACATCGACTTAGCCACAGAGCATTTCAATGGAGTAAACACAAATAAATGAACCTCTGTGTTGGTAAGCACATTTTGTCACTATGCCTGTTACAAATTTTAAACAGTTAAAATAGTGGTATAAATACATAATCCCTTCTTGGATGTATACCAAACAGTACATATACCAAACTTCCACATAAGAAATAAAGGGAGAATGAATAATGAGTTGCAATAAAACTCATTCTGAGAAGAGTCAAGTGCCTACCAGAATATTACTGGGAAGAGAGGAAGAGGAGGAGATATTTTTTAAAAGAACAGCCCCCTTCCCCCCAAAAAATTTACAGGTATCTGAAGTTCTTGTGTTTTTTCTGTCTTAAATTTACTTCTGGACCTGGCAGAGGTTCATCAGGTTTGATTTTCACTGAAAATCTGTTCAAAGAACTTTGCTTCTGCCTCCTCCTCTAGAAGATGTTAAGAAGATGTGACCTTGTCTGGTCAGTCCAGACAATGCTATTACAGCTTGTTTGGGCTCTGTCGGAGTGATACTTCTCTGCAGTCACTGATATCTAACATTGACTTTTATCAGTTGCTTTGTCTCCAGAGAGGTATGAAATGATACTTCTCTGCAAAGTCATTGACATCTATCAGTTGCTTTGTCTCCAGAGAGGTATGAAATGATACTTCTCTGCAAAGTCATCGACATCTATCAGTGGCTTTGTCTCCAGAGAGGTGGAATGATACTTCTTTGCAAAGTCACTGAACCATATACCAAAGCGAACATATACCAAGGTCCCACAATATTTGTGTCCCACCCCCATGAACAAAACAACAACAGAAACATGAACAGATGGACTCTATGTGTCAGTTCATCTGTTTCTGACCCTGCAACTCACCAGCTGCTGCTAGGAATGCAGCTCTTGCTGAAACCAGAGTGCACACATATTTGACAATTTTGCAGTCTTCGGTTGTGTAGTTAACCACTTGAAGCTCTTCAAGGACCAGTTTTGTATGTCGGAAGAACTCGTCTGTGTCACTGTGATACAACCAACAGAGAAAAATCTGCAGATCATTTGTAAAGGTGATATATTCTGTTCTCTCTCTCTTTCTTTCTCTCTCCCTCTCACACAAAACAAAATCTGAGCCATAATCAATACTTCTGCAGTTTATTGTTTTTTTTAACCACTCCTGTGGGTTTTTTTGGACAGTGGTACCAGAGTCGCCCCGAGGAAGATATTGGGGCATCACCGCACAATGTTCCCAAAGACATCAATGGGTACAATGTAGCCAATCTTCATTGTATGGATGGCACACAATTTACTTAGAAGCAAATGCATTTACTGTTATTCACAATTCACTTTTCTACAGCTCTAGCATTCTTTCATTCAACTTCTTTGTATGTGTGTGTATGCGTCCAGTTTTATTATGATTTAAAAATATTTTGCCCAAGTTCAGTATCATTAAAACCTTCCCATTCATTCCATATAATATTACTCTTATTTAAGTTTTATGATCACAAGCAAACAGGAGAAATCATGGATTCACAATATTGATGATTGTACTGTCTGTACACTCTAATGGACAACACAAGTACATTGCTCCAGTTTGCATATTTATAAAATTATAAAAACAGGTTATGTTTAAAATAATCTCTGCCTACCTTTCCACTTCTGAAACATATTTGGTGTAAAATCTGCCCCTCTCAAAGAGAGGGCAATCTTTGTCTGCACTCTGAAACAGTAAGCCTTCACGTGTGAGTCTCTCCAGAACAAGTCTGACAATCTCACCCATGTACATTCCTGAAATCATCTTTTCCATTCTGAAAAAATAAAAACAAAAAGACAGTAAAATACCCCTTTTCATACCATAAAACCCATTTGGTACATGGTGCTAACCTCGTATTTCTAGATCCATCAAAATTTGATAAGTGATGTTGTTAATATTACACCAGTCACCGTCATTTGTCACAATATTTCCTAGTTCTCATTTTCAGCTGGATTTACCTTAAAAACAAGATATTTTTTTTTTTTATTCCTCAGCTCAATACAAAAAGTGTAGTATTTCACAACTGGCTGGCCAGGTATGAGGAAAGGGCAGCCACAGTAGTGCAATGGCTAAGCATGCTTGCCAGATGGGAGGAAGCTATAATTTCAATCCTTGGTCATTGATCTAGGAGAGAGCCATATGTTAAATTCTTTTTCATTCCTTCTTCTTCTTCGATCCTTCTGTCAGAAAACTTATATCAGGAGGCGGGTAGCCTTTATGAAAGCTATCGTGCAATCCATATCCTCTTGTGTACCATACAGTTTTGTCTTCCGTGTGGTTGGAACAGGCCAGAGAGGGAGCCATGTTCAATCCTTGGTCATTAATCTGGCAGGGAGCCATATGTTCAATTCTTTTTTATTAATCTGGGAGGGACCCATATGTTCAATTCTTGATCAATAATCTGGGAGGAGGCCATATCTTCAACCCTTGGTCATTAACCAAGACACGAGAAAGAAATATTCCAAACAAAAATCCAACAATGTCACCACAACAGACAAAGAAATGAGCACAACAGAGAAATGGGAGGAGAAACTCCATGTGTTGAAATAAGATAAATAATAAAAAAATCTAATCATCTAAATAGAATGGAGCTTGCATGGTTAGCCCTATGTTCCTACAATTGTAGAAGAATGAGTAATTAAGCATAAAGAAGACCAAGGAGCTGATGGACTGACAACATCAATAACACCTTCAAGTGACAGATTCACATTAGCCAGCACACCATATGTAGCATTAGTGCATAAACTGCAACTCCTCACAATACATCATGCCAAGATCAGAACTAGCACGGACAACAAAACAGTATTAATGGTGGGACAGTGGACAGACAAGATAAGACTATAAAATTCTTTGATTTAAAAAAAAGATTTTAAATGACAGTCTGCTTTCAGAATTTACTCACAAAATACCACTTAGTTACTCAACACTGTTCAAAGAGATACACTAAAACATGATTATTCACAACCTGGGTAGTAAAATCATAAGATCTCAAGATCAGTGAAAGACTTGAAGGACCACATTTAGTTAACAGCAAGAGAATGAAATCAACCAAGTATGAGTGATATCTCATGCCATAGCTATGTTGACATAAAAAATCTATATTTTATTGATTTCCATTAGCAAATTCTCTATGAACTTTCTACTCTTGACAAGAATTTCAGAAACTACCTTGGCCTGCTATAAATGAGGTCACTGCTTAGTGCCTTCTTCTTCTTCTTCTTTTTGAATTCACCCTTAAAAGGTCAGACGACATGTGCAGTATCTATGCTCCTATCTTTCCAATTACCTCTTTGCTCATAGCAGCTTATTTTAGATCTGTAAAGGTCAGATCTCCATCATAATGAACACTACATTTTATTACACACATTACAATATATACCTGCTTTTATTTCAAAGATTTAGGACAACTTACACTTGTTTGCCAGGATTTATAGAAAACGTGTCCAGCTCTCTGTCATACTCAGTCCGTGTAAAATCCAAGCAACCATTGTCTCCAAATGCTCCCCACTCTGTATTGATGATAACCTAGAAGTATAATAAGAAGTTATTCAATATGTTTTTCATTTCACAAGTTATGTATGAACAGTGAGTAAGTACTCTGATTTTCAGTTTAGTTATGTTTTAATTATTTATGTATTCTAAAAATAAATTTTATTTTCATAAGTTCATCACTATCATGAGCCGTGCAGATAAGCATAGCTGCATATGGTTCACCATTTCAAATGATCACCACAATCACGGATTAGGTCTGTACTGCTCTTCCACACATGCCATGTGGTCTGGTTAATCAAGTGGGAATCTCTGCTCTCTGCAATCATTAGAAGTTCTAAGTTTCTCCACTTCAAATATATCCATGTTGTCTATTTACATGCACACAACCCCCCCCCCCCCCCCCCCCCCCCTTAAATGTTTTTCATGATCAGTTTTTTTCAGGATCAATGCTAATTACTCAAACTGCTCGCCCTTACTGTCCCTCATCTAAATATACCCTACTTTTTCCCATAATAGAAACCTCAATTACTAGCTACTAGGTTTTAAAATTTCATACTGAACAGAAAGGGAGAAAAACAGATTTCACAGGAAAATATTATGAGACCTAAATGTAGGAAATGTGACATATAATCAATTAAATGAGATGATAACCATTATAACTATCCTGCTTAAATGCAATGCTGCTGTTAAAGAAGAAAATAAAACTGGTAAAGAGAGAGAGAAAAAGCATAGCAATTATGTAAATCATAATACAGATTTGGCCAGGTGTGCATGCCTGTGTCTTTGTGTGGCTGCATCTATCTACCCACTCAAACATGATGTCGCTTGTAGGATTAGCTCACTAGTTGTCTCTATAGATTGCCTGTGTGGGTTCTATGATTAAAAAAAAAATAACAGTCCAATTGTTTCTTAACAAGCATGCCGTAAAAGGCAAATTATTAAAGAATTGATCAAATTTGATGTTTTTGACAGAAAGACACAGATATCATTGCCTAGCTGTAAACTGCAACACTAAATCACGCTTTAGATGGCGAACAGAAAAAGTATTTAGAAATGTTATAAACAGAATAAGACAAATGCAACAAAAATGAAGAAACTCCACAAAAACATCACCTGTCTGGGATGAAGGTCCTTCTCATCCTCATTTCCCCAAGTGCCCACATTATCCAGATATTCCATGTAGCAGACATTGCAGCCGGTGCCCAGGATGAGTCCTATTTCACAGTTGTGATCCACATGGGCAGCAGCCATTAGTGTGCCCACTGCATCATTGACCACCGCAACTATCTCCACTTTGCAGTTCTGCAAGAAATCAGACAAGTGGTCTTTACAGTTGCCGCAATTATAATTAAAAAAAAGCACCATATTTGTTGGACAATCTGATAAGATTAGAGATAAGATTAATACATTTTGGTCTGAAGACTATGGTGCAATTGGGTGTGACTGGAGATCTGACTGATAACTCTACACTTAGGGGAAAGGTAAGGCGGACAAATAATCAAACTAATGCCAGTACCATCAGAACTAGAACTCTTTCACTTGCTGCTGTGAAAACTGAGCTCTTATAGGAATGTTCTGAGTGCTGTGATGGCGGTTCTTAAAAATGCAGGGTTCTCATGTGGGAGATGTAGGTTCGAGTCCATGGTAAGGTAAGATATTTTTCTGTCGCGGGTAAAAATATAGCCTACACAGTCCGTGATGACGGCACTATTCATGCGGCCCAAAGAACCCTGACCTATGGGTGTGAGTCGTGGGCAAAGGCAACAGCTCACAGAAGCCAGCTTCAGGCTTCAGACATGAGATATCCGAGGAAAGCTGGTCCAAGTGACAAGACGGGACAATGTCTGCAATCAGACAATACGTAAAAATTTTGATACCCAGTCCTTACAAACCCAAGTGGATCACAGTTACGATGGTCTGGACATGTATGCAGAACAGGAGAAAATCGGCCACCATGGCAGGCATGGGAGCCTAAGAACCAGACAACCAGACTTCTATGGTGACTCAGGGTCCGCTGGGAAGACAACATCTGACAGTCCCTAACTGATAGAGGACTGGAATGGAACAAAACCAGAAAGAAAACTGCTGATACAGACGTCTGGCGATCGTTCTGGCAAACTCTACACCCTAATTTAGAAAAGGAGCAACTAAGAAATTAATTAGGTCAAAGAACCCTCCCCTGCCTATGCAGCAAAAGTGGTAATTACAGGCAGCAATGGCAGTTTTTAGTTTTTATAGCTAATATTATACAATTTAGACACACACCACTGGGCCATTCAGCATGCAAGCTTGTTAGCAGCTACAGTACAGCAGCTGTAGTAATTAATTATATTTGGTATGGTTTAGTACATTTGTTAAAATTGTATCAGATAAAGACATTAACAGTTTCATTAGTAATCTTATACGTTGTGTTAAGTTAACCACTCAGCCAGCCACTTCTCATTGTAATAGCAATTCTTTTTTTTTTTTCAATATATAATCAGGATCCCTGGTTGGTTCAACCTACAATAAATAGCAAGAAATGCCTGATTCATAAAGTCATCCGATTATGACAAATCATCTACTGACCCATTACACCATTTAAACAAATATGAGGCTGGCATCATATACCCAGTACTGACCTTAGCTCCCAGGTCGACCCAGTCTACAATGAGTACCAAGAAAGTAAAAAATGTCTGATGTAATTCTGACCGTATCACATATGGAGTGCGGGTTTTTTTCTTATATTTAGGGCTCGCACATATACCTGATGCATCAGTGCACAGGAAGGTATCACATATGGAGTGCGGGTTTATCTCTTATATTTAGGGCTCGCACATATACCTGATGCGTCAGTGCACAGCACAGGAAGGTATCACATATGGAGTGCCGGTTTATCTCTTATATTTAAGGCTCGCGCATACACCTGATGTGTCAGCGCACAGGTAAGTGTTCTTATCAAATTACACAATGATGCAGAAAACACAAATGAATACCCATCATATGTTCCATTATATGTTTCAAGGATATTGTATACAGAAGCTGATACTGAAATTTCAGAAAAGGGGAAAAAAAGTATGCACCAATCTGCAATATATCCGATAAAGGATATACTACATATCATACCCAAATAGGTATATTATTATGGTACTTATTGCTTCGCATGATTTAACAGTAACACTAATAATAGATGTAGACAGGATATTGGTTTCTTACACTTCCACTTTACAATGCTAGTGGGTTTTTCGTTGTCACTAAACAGTCTGGCAGCATTATATAAACAGGCATGTCTATTTGCGTCGCCATTCTTACCCGCACAGGATTGCAGGTTGCATCTAGTTGGTGAAGCTGTTAAGGGTGTCCTAATTATAACGTTTGTTGTGGGGGGGCTGAAAGGGGTATCTGGGATCTGCCTTGTTGGTCAGCCGTCCAGTCAACGATTTTTTTTTTAAAATCTTATATTACCATCCGTAAACCTTTAACTCTTTGAGTCCCAGGGGATTTAGCATCAGAGGCCCAAGGGGTAAGGGTGGGCGTCTTGGGGGTGGGGGGAACCTATGAACGTAAACCCTTGACTCGATTTACGCGCTACAAGGGGTGTGGTTGGGGGGAATAAAACCGATCGATTTACGCGCTACACCTGTTAATGTAGTGAGCAGCAGTAGTGTAGCAGCTGGACGCTCGCCTGACGGCCCGAAGGTCTTAGGTTCGATTCTACATCGTAAAGGATTTTTTTCAAATCACACTGGCTACCATGTCAGATTAAAATGGGTGCCAGGCGAAGTCACGGCAAGTAAGAGCGGCCTGTGTGATCTTTGTCACCCCGTCTAACGAGCGCCGACTGGTTTATACAAACATGAGTCTGGCATCATATGCCCCATGCTCCCCGTGTGGGTTCCGGGGCCCCATCGTGGGGAAAACAAGAATAGACCCTCTGCCTACCCAAAAGCATGTCGTAAGAGTCGACTAATTGGGGAGCTTCCTTTGAAGTCGGAGTGCATCTGATTGAGAGGCAAGGAACCAACAGTCTGCATTCAAGTGAATCAGATCTGTAAAACTGATGTACACGCAACACTCAGGTTCTGGAACAGGACTGCAGTTCAGAAGTGGACGAACAACCAGAACTTTCCACCAGAGTGTACAGCTGGTGAACGCGAAGAAGAAGAAGAAGATATGCCCCATGCATCACTAGCGTTACTGACGTTTTTTAATAGATAACCAAGTGTGAGAAAGTGCAAATGTGCTAAAATTCACGTAGTGATTTATATCTATCTGCTTATCATCTTATTCCCGGAAAGCATGACTATTCAAATAAGTTGGGTTCTTTTCAGCTTTTTCACCCGGTCCCGATGGTTGGCTGTTTTCAGCGTGTTCGTCGTTTATTGCGTCATCATTTCCAGTGTGTGTTACTTCCGCTCGTTCGTCGTCATCACTTTACCCTGTTTGCAAGCGGTGTTTCTACTTTGTGATCTTGCCTTCTCTGTGAATTTTCCCTGACCTGTCAGCATTCGTGCATCTAACCCTAACCGACGGGTGTGCATACATGGAGACTGTCGCTCCTTTTTTTAGGGCTCTCCTCGGCCGACTTCCCAAGATGGTCCTTTTCATGGCATGGCCAAAACTATCCCCAATTCGCATCGCACTGCCTAAGGTCTGCCCAAGAGAAACACCGGTTGAAGCCGAACTTTACTGGTCGCTAAGTGAATTACACAACACGGTGAAGTCCATACTAGAGACGACATTGCAGATATAGATAATCCATTTCCGGCAAACGAAAGAAGAGGGGGATTCTAACCCCAACTCTAACCCCCTATACTATATGACCTGCGGTGGAACCCACTAGGAATTCCCAACCACATTTCACAGCCAAGAAGATGGGGTAAATAAAATGAAAAGTACCCCAAGTTTACTAAGTACTAAAGGGGCCATACTTCAAAAAATGGGAATCGTCACTGGACAGAAGCTCGAGCTCCAGCATAGAGAGGTCATTAATACAGTAGAAATGGCAATGATCAGCAGGCCACCAGTTGCACAGCTTTGATTTAAAGGTTGAACGCTTATAATGTCGAATTTCATTTTAAAAAATCAATGTATAAATATCTGGGGGGGGGGGGGGGACACACACAAACACAGAGAGAAAAAAAAGGGGGGGGGGGGCGACCTCAAAGACCTCCCGCTGTTATCCCAATGGGATACAGAAACTTTTAATTACGGTATTTACATGGCCGATAGAACCGTATTATTTCACGTGTGTTCCCACGTATAAAGAAACTCCGCAGACAGGTTACTATGAACAACATTCAATAACACACAAGTAAAGCATTCAACGACTAGAGCGCATTAATGCCGTGCGTACACAGTCAAGGATTTGTGCAAATGATTTACTGCGGGCAAAGGAGGTATGTACATTACAATATACGCTTGTAAACGAACATCAGTGCTACTGTTAGCATACTGCCTCAACAAATCCTATACTTCATTTCCTCCGACCCCTCTCTTCTATTCTAGTTTTAACACACACACACCCAGCCCTCCCAACGCTACCATCAGCTAGAAACATCCACCTCACGCCACGCCGTTTTAATAAACCTCACACAGAGAATCTCTCTAAATACCATCATAGTCCTGGTGTGAGTCCGGCTGTGGCGTAAAGGAAAAGCCACACACAAAAAGGGGGGGGGGGGGGGAGAAGAGGGGCATGCGGGTCGCACCGGGTTTCACAACATAGCAAAAATTAGTGTTTCGCTCTCGGATCCGAAGGTTTACGTCCTGACGGAGCCGCACTGTTTTGAAAAAGGACCTTGCTTCCCAGCCTTAAATGGGTAATAGGTAAAATCCCGGGAAGTAAATGTAGCCGGCGTAATGCTGACCACATCATCCACCGAGTGCCGATTGGTCTATATGCCAATTGCGCTGAAGGGTGGGGAAGGGCCCTTTACTTTCGGCTTCTCGATACCACTAAAGTAAAGTAAAGTCGGGAGATGTGAACCAGCGTCATGCTCAAGGTTATAAACCACAAGTGCTTTGCCACCAGTACGGACAACTGATAAGAAACTGTCTGACTGTGTTGCCGTCCGCACGTAACTCCGTAGCTACAGCGACATTCCTCCATTTACCCCAGAGTGTCATTTCCAGAGGCTGGGTGAACCCCAGGAACCGCCCGTTTCGAGCACCGACCATGGACTGCAGCGAGTCGCAGCTGCATTTGAAAGCTAGTCTCGTATCGACTGCGCAAACGCAGGTTGTCGAAACCAACGCAAGGCGGCCCGCAGCTGGAATCGAACCCAGCACCACGGCATTATGAAGCTCGTTCGCAACACCTA